GTGATGCGTCTCTTTTCAGTGATTTCGCTAGTGTAAGGCTCTCTCCCGTTATCACAAACAGCGGCTTTCGATTCCTCCTGTGAGTTGTACGTCATTCATTGCGTGGAAAGCATTGCATGGTGTGCGAAAGACTGCTTGCGCATTGCCGCTGCCAAGGCCGCGATGTCCAACATGTACCTGGCTTCCGAACACAACCATCTCAGATTCGTGCGACCCGCCGACACTTGCTTTTGGGTTGCGGAATGTGACAGGGACTTCAAAGTGTTTCCGAAAAGCGAAGCGGCTGCTTCCCAATACTTCCATTGACCGCCTTATAATCATGCTCCCAAATTGCCCTGATGTAGCCCCCCTGCGGTGCCTTTAGCTTCAGCATGTTTGGAGTATATAGCCGCGCCTACAACCTCAAAGCAGTCACGACGCCTTGATGTTTTGGAACAGTTGGTACGCACATGTTCTGCTCGTATGCTTGACAAACATGAAGTGTCTGTTTGCAAGGTGAAGGCCGTGTTGATGGCAGCTGGCGCTGATGAGCGGGTCATGTTTCGTCGGGCGTTGCAGATGGTCATGTCTGACAGGGCTGAGATAATGCAGTGGCCGGCGCAACTGTCTCTTGCCGACACAGTTGCAGCCTTGCATGCCTTTGCAGCTCAGAGTGAAGCCATCTCACCCCCCAGTGATGCCGCAGCACTGGCTGTGCTGGCTGCTGTGGAAGGAAGGGATGCGGCAAAACTCCAGCGCACGTTGGAGCTGCTGCAGATTCCGCAGAGAACTAATGCCAATGAGTCGATGCCATGTCTAGCCGACCGCTTCAAGGGCTTCCTGCGATTGCAGCAGATAGGTCCACCAGCAGCCCCCGCGAGCGCGAGCTCATCATCAAGTCACCAGGCACCGGCAACATCTTCGACGGGACCAGCATTGAACGGAGCCAATGGCGACCAATCCTCTGCTGTCCAAGCCTTTACGTTGGCTTCGAATTGTATGGGGGGCAGGCTTGTTGGTCCTTGGCGCTGCTTTCGCGTTGATGGCCGGCAGCATTATGGCCATCGCCACGGCTTCACATACTGGAAGCCGCACGGCTGGGTGAAGCGGCGGTTGCAAGTTGACGATTACAATATGTGCAGGACTTGGCCAATAGCCTACCATGGAACCAGTTTGGAGAACGCACCCAAGATTTTGCTGACAAGCCTGCGTCGGCCTGGCCAGGGTGGGGCGACAAAAGCACGTGGAGCAGCTGGCGGCAGTCCGTCTGGCACCATCTATGTCACACCTTCCATCTACTATGCTGCACATCCCGCCGACGCCCCTTTGAACCCGATCGAGAACAGCTCAAACAGATGGTTCCAGATGAAGGCGACGTGGTGGTCATCGGATTGATGTACCGAGAGCTGGGCCGCGGAGCAGACGGCAGCATCTACGGCAGCCTTGCGATCCAGCTAACGCAGGATAACGAGTTCAATCACAAACGCGTGGACGGCTGCCACCTGAGCAGCATGCTTGTGAATTAGTTTCTTCTCATTGTGAATGGTGCACTCAGCGCAATTTGCTACAGAAGCCGATCTTGAATTGCCCACAGGTGAGGGCAAGGTATACAGAGGCAGGGTACAGCTCCTGGCAAGACATGAGCTATTGACCATCACGAGTACCGGTTGGGCACAGATACCCCGCTTCTCAGCAAGTGCATCTCAGCCATTCCTTCAGGCACTCTCGCGCAGCTGGGCGCAGATGATCGGCGTTTTTGGAAAGCTCAATGCGCATCGGCACATCCATGAAACTGATCGTCACTGGCACTTCCAAAGGCCATTTCCACACGTGGTTGTGGCTTGTACAGCGTACTCGAAGCCGAGACCCTGCGTGGAAAAGCAAGCCTGCATCACCGTCCTGCCGCGGCTCAGAAGGATTTCAGTGGGTTGCCTGAGTCTTGGCGAAGAAAGTTAGTTGCCCTCTGCGATGTTTATCACACAAGTAGTTACCTTCCCATGCTGCAGTGCCCACTAGAGTTCTGAATATTTGAACCCCTTTGGCAGATTTCAGGACCATATCCTTGTGGTCATAAAATCCCACAAGCCTCTGAAGTTACCGCAGAGACTGGCAATCCTCCAGCCCTGGGATTTATGCGCAAGGCCATGCAGAAGGGACAACCTACAGATAGTTGCGAAGTAGTCGTGGGACGGATCTGTTAGGCGCTGTAATTGCCTGTTTTAACTAACCGTATCTATCCCGCCGGCTCGGCCCCTCAGCAGTAGACGTAGATGTCTCACGACCTCGGGCGGCCTGTTCCGGGTGACAGCGTGCGGCTGCGCCACGGACAGCATCGGAGGCACGAGTTGTGTAGGAAGTTGAGCGATCAACCAATGTCTGGAGAAGACGCCCTCCGTGATCCGGGATTCTTGAACAGGTGGTTCATAGCACCAACCTTCATTGCGGTAACCAGGCAGGTCCCAACATAGCTTGTAAGGGCTTGCAACATCAGAAGTCAGAGACCAATCTTCGCCGTGGCTCACAGGGCCGGAGACACCGCGGAGCCATGACAGCCTGGGCCGCAGTTGATTGGAGCGTGCAGGTTGAACAACGCCGCTGATCAGGTCTGCCACTTTTCTTTGCGTTCGGGGTATGTGCGATGGTTGTGAGGCATCAGAGAGCGAACTTTTGCCTTGTCCGGTGTCAGCTGCGAGAGGTGATTGTGGGTGGTAGAGTGTCTTCCAAGGAGCTCGATGTGGGCGACTCGCTTCCTCCCTATGCGTCCGAGGTGCCAGTGGCTTCCAGTTCATGCAAAACTGCTGCTCTCTGTCCTTTTGGTTGTTGGCATTTTGAATCAGTTCTCCCGAACTGACTTGGATGTTGCGGGCTTCGCTTCTGTCATGTTCGGTGTGTAGACTGCAAGTGACTTCATGGCCGGCCACCTTGCAAAGGGCTTTCAGGATGCAAGACTTTGGTGTACGATCGTACTGTGGCGCGAGTGAGCAAGCTGTTGGGCTGACTGGCAGGAACATGTTGCGCAGGTTCACTTCCCTGGAGGGGGTGCCCAGTACGATGCTGATCTAGACATGCTGCTGAACGCAGGGGCGATCGTTGGCAGACCATATCTGGAGTGAACACCTGCGCTTATTCTTGTGGCGTGTCCTGATCCTCTTCGCAGTCACACCACTAACAAAGAACTGAATAATCTGAGCAAAATCGGTCCTACGAGAAGTTTCATACTGGAGTAAACGGAACCTGGTTGAACCCCCTCGACAAAGCCTGTGAAGCAACCTGGCTGCAATCAACCACGCCCCCCATCGCCAAGCCCTAAACGCCCTGCACCCTAGACCCGTAAATTCCACGCTCGTAGGCCTTAAACTTTCAAGCCCCAAAAACTCCTGACCGAAACTCTGAAGCCCTCTGCGCTGGCTGTCAGGAGAATAAGAAGCTCGACGCCGAGGTTTGTCGGAGCCAGCGGCTTCCACACCATTCCCTTAACTAGGACCTAGCTAATAGGGCTCTATAGAGGTCTTTATGGCAATGGGTTTAATTATTCAATTCTTTGGAAGGTTTTTTGCTGATTCGAGACTCAGTGCATTCCAATAGGTTCCTTCACGAAGGATTCCGAAGGATCCTTCATTAAGAGTTTAGAGCGTGGGAATCTTGAAACCAAATCGGGGGGATTTGGTTGTGACCAAGGGTTTCTTTTGCAGGCACCGGGCAACCTCGAGGTGTTACATCGGTTTAGTTGTTTTCTCGTGGGCGATTCAGGTTCCCATTCCAGTCAGCTTGAGGTATCAGGCTTTGGCATGTATCGTTCAGGGTTCATTATCAGGAATTTCAGGTTTGAGGGAGTGCATGGGGTCGGTTTTGCTGGGTCGGAGAGGCAATCGCAGTTGGGTTACTCAGGGTTTGGGGTTTCTAGGTTTTTTTTTTCGGGTTGGGGGTTCAACTGTGCGGTGCTTGTAGTTGTGGACGTCGCAAGCTCTAGTCAGGTATTCGATTATTGAGATTGTGGACACTGTTTCGTTGGGTTTTCGATCTGTTTCATCTGGTCTGGGCATGGGCCCAAGCGCAGGTCAAGCAGAAGCAGGCCCAGATCGAATCTATCGAGGCCCGGGGCATTAGCGCCGTCAGGTGGTGATGCTGAGTCCGGCTTTGGACACTTTGCATACTGCGTAGACGCTTCTTCATTCTAGTCGCCTGCGGGTCAACTTGTGTGATGGGACATCCTTAGGAGAAGCATCCGTCGTCGTTCAAGGCATCCCAACCCGCGAGACTCCCTGTTAGATCCCGAGTCGAGACTTGCAGATCCTTTTTGCTGAGCTTTACAGCAGCCGTAGCAGCTATAGGCTATGGCCTTGGAGCCCTTAAGCGCGAGATGTGCACAGGAGCAACTCGAGAGAGATGGCGCGCGGGTTAAGATCATGACGGACCACTTAGTCAACGTGCAGCAGGACGACAAAGAGTTGCAAGTTTCGAGTGTGGAACGGCGCAAGTGAGACTTCGTCTTCAGTGAGAAGCCGTGAAATGCAAGTACGAGTGGAACTCGTTTCCGGTGGAGTGCCTTCAGCCCGGAGCCCGAAGCACACCCAGAATCGAAGCACACCGAAGTCACGCAGCATGTCGGCCCAGCAGCGTTGAAGCGCTTACGACCCCCGGGCCCGCGTGCCCTGGGTCTGGCACGCCTCAAGTGGCCATGACCGTTGCACTGGGGAGGCCCTACACGGAGGCTCGGGTCCGGGGGCGCTTCTACTCATTTCTGCTCCTTTCGAAGCTTTCATCGTTTGGCTTTGCTTCGTGTTTCAGCCTGAGACTGAAGATTTCGAGTGGCGGAGGGTTGCTCTCAGAGGGGACGGCATGGGGGAGCATGCAGGGAAGCCCAACTACGGCAAGTTTGGTGTAGTGGCAGTGAAGGCGTGGTAGAGCGGTGCAGAGGCATTGTACGTCGACCTCCAGCCGGGCGCAGCTTAGGATCAAGAGTAAGTCCAAGACGTATCCGTTAAGCTGACACTCCGACTGCCCCGTGACGGAAGGGCCCCATGCTGGCGGAGGAGCTGCTGAAGCCGACAGGCTCAGAGGCAGAATGGCCGAAGGGAGTAGAACAAGCTTTCGCGCGATCAGGGGAACGACCTTTGCTCTTTCCGAGCTCAGAAATGAAACGCCTTCAGCTCCTTGCAGCTCTTAGGAGCGAAAAACCGAGGGAACCCAAAGAGAAAAAGGAGCAAGCTCCGTAGCACAAGAAAACAACTGGGGGATTTCTCTTTTCTTGCCCCTGATGAGGCCTTTCCCTTTCCGCTGGTGGGGCTATGGCCCGCGAAAAGCGAGGCGGAGGCGGCTGGAAGAGCTTTCAGAAGAGGGGGTGAGGGGTTGACTTGGGTTTAGGGTGTAGGGTTTAGAGGTTTGTGCTTGTTGTCATTGTGTGATGTGGGGAGGCATGACAGGCTGTAACTTCACATAACAATCTGCCCTGAGGTAGTTGCTTCTTGTGCCAAGCCGGTGGCTCTTGCAGCAGGCGTGCAGCACACCTGCGTCGTGAGTGCTGGTGGGGCGCTACTCTGCTTTGGAGGCAACGATCGTGGCCAGTGCAGTGTGCCGGCGAGTTTGGGCACCGTGAGGTCAGTAGCTGCCGGCTTCCAGCACACTTGTGCAATTACAGCAGATTGCGGCTTGGTGTGCTTCGGGCTGAACAGCTCCGGCCAGTGCCAGCTGCCGTCCCACTTGGGCAAAGTAGTGGCCGTGTCTGCCGGTTTCCAGCACACCTGTGTCATTGATGCCTGCGGGATTCTCACTTGCTTCGGCAGCCAGCGGAACGGGCGTTGCGAGATTCCCAGGGACCTGGGCCCCGTCTTGGCTGTTTGCGCTGGGATTGGCCACACTTGTGCGATCACCGCTGTGGGGAATCTCGTCTGTTTCGGCAGCAATGAGGCCGGCCAGTGCGACGTACCACCCGACCTCTGCCACGTAAAGGCTGTGGCAGCGGGCCAGAGCCACACGTGCGCTCTCCAGGCCGACGGCGTACTGCGCTGCTTCGGGAGCAACAAGGATGGTCAGTGTGACGTGCCGAAGGACGTGGGCCGCATCATCGGAGTCTCTGCTGGGATCGCTCACACCTGTGCCTTGACGGCGGCTGGAGAGCTGGTCTGCTTTGGTAACAACACCGCGGGGCAGTGCAACGTGCCCAAAGACCAGGGTCCTTTCATTGCTGTCGTGGCAGGGTATCAGCACACGTGCGCAGTACGGGCCACTGGTGAGATTGTCTCCTTCGGAGCCAACGCCAGTGGACAGTGTGACGTGCCCGTCAACCTGGACGACCCGGGCTGAAATTGAGGGCCAATTCAGGAAGATGAATAGCGGATGAGAGTCATCCAGAGGGTGCGAGACCTTCCAAGTCCATGTAATCTCAAGGATCCATAGCGAGTTGTCTGGCTGAAATCAGCCTTTCCGTCTAGTTCAATCTTTCTCGACAGCTCAGATATGGATCCTACGCAGAATTTGAAGCGCGCAGCGCTTACCACATTGTGGCTGTGCCGTGCTAGTCCGCAAACATCCTGCTAAAGGTTGTGCATGGCGATACTCAGAGATTGCAATGTGCATGGCTGTTGTTTAATGGCTTCTTCGTGCAGCCGTATGCCCATCGTTGATTTCGCATCGGCTGGAATGCAACAGACCAAAAGCACTAGCTAAATGGACAGGGGACCGGCGCGCCACAAGCGTCTGTGCCAGCCACGCCGAATGCATCGGGTCTAATGTGCCTTTGAAAGCATGTTCTTGACAAGAAGCCGTCGCCCGGCCACATCGGTGTTGTACAGCATGTACAGCTGCCAGGGCAAATCAAGCAATCAAGACACAAAGTGCTACAGGATTTAACAAGTCCGAGTGCGCAGACTTGTGAGTAATGTGAGTCATTTGGGTCTGAGTCCGAGGTAATTGCCAATCTGGGCCCATACAGGGCAACACGACACGACAATGTGGCAGCTACTGGGTAGTCTTAGGCCCGTTCTTTTTCACACACTCTCTTTGTCGCAGGAGCTGGTCAACACGCAGCAGCTCGTTGACGCGAAACGGAACGAAGCCAGCACAGAGGAACATCTTCAGGCCGCCTGGCATCCGCTTGAGACCCCTTTTCAAAGTTCAGTTAGCGCTAATCAAATGGCTGCTTTCATGAGGCGCTGACGAATCGGCCTAGCCCTTAGTTCCCTGGTCGGGGGCTTCGGAATTTCAGGGCTGTTGAGGTTCTTTAAGCTTTAGTTTGGGGAGTTCAGGGCGGGATGTTGGGTGCACTTCAGTTTGGAGGGGTGGTCCTACGGGTGGGGGTTGAAGGGGTTTCGTCGTTGCTTTGACAATTTTTCCTTTGTTCCGAGGATTTCTGAGGCGTAGATGATGTTCTTGCACTGGGCTTGAAGGGTTTCAATCGGAGACGAGAGAGAGGAGCACATCCATGCGTGACAGGCGAGCAAGCACTTCAGGAGCGACGGCAAGGTGACTAAGTAGTACTAGTATTAATTACTTTTACTATTACTATCTGTATTAGGCGGCGGCTTTCTCGATCGAGGAGCGACGACACCGGACAAGTGTACAAGATTGCTCTGAGTGTGACCATCAGCAAACTGCTATCTTGGTTCCCTTGTCAGGATTTTTTGTAAGCGTAGTTTCCAGTTCAAGCTTTCGAGGTGCCTTTCTTTGCGGATCATGCATTTCTCTTGGCCGAGGCAGCTCGGACGGCTGAAATCTGAGATCGTCCGGCTGCACAAGGTCCTGGAAGACACGCAGGCCAGGTTCTGGACCTGCCTGAGGGTTGATGTGGCACTGGAGGCGGTAAAGTGCAAGCTGCACATTGATGCTGGGTTTCGCTTGTAAGACTTGCCCATCGAGCCCCCGCGCCCCAAGCCCCAGTCCCGCATGCTACCCTCGCGAGGAAAGCTGTGACTAACACCAATGCCACACACACAAGAGTGACTCTTGCTCTGATGAGAGCTAATCCTCATTTCCCTGCTGGCACAGTGCTTTGCCAGTACACAAACGTACAGATCTGTTCTTGCACTTCGTGAGGATGTCCGTTAGATGACTCGAAGTGTACTAGAACGCCTCAAGCCTACGAGCCGTCAGAAGCCCGAAACTGCAGGACCAAATCAACGCATTCTCGAACGAGCTAATGCGTGGCAATGAGAAGTTGGACCAGTTCGCCCAGCCTCCTGCTGCAGGGCCTGCATGCGGGGGTTGCCAGATATGCTCTGCGGCTCTGAGCTAGAATCGTAGCATGACGGTTCAAAGGGCTACAGGAAGTCCCACAAGCCAGGGCCCCTCCCGATCAACCCGCAGGAACCTTTACCCTGCTTCCCGTGGGAGCGAAGCTTCGTTTAGGGCTGCCTCGCGAGTTCTTCCGGAGCCGGCTGCCCGATGGAGAGGCTCAGGCCAGGCTCTGTTTGCTCACGGATGCAAGGCTTTCTGATCCTTATGATAATGCTTCCATCCTTGGAGTTCAGCCTCAGGTTGTGGTGTGCGAGGGGTCATTGCACGTGCCTCACTGGCCATCTGTGCCATCCAACTTGCGCAGCAACGGCTCGAGACTTACGCTTGCCTCGCATTGCCTTGCGGCTGGAGATAGCTACTGCTTGAAGCAGGCGGGCCTGACTTTGCCGCTTCAATCCCATGGGTTGACATGCATGATAGATACTCCAATGGCCCGCAATGACAGCTACTGTTGAGGGGCGAACCATCCGGACCTTGTCCTGGTCTTGGGTCTGTCCTTGTCCGCCCTGTGCGGTACCATTATCATTCCGGCACCTGCTCTTGCTTCCTCCCTCCCCGCCTCCCTCCCTCCCTCCCTCTCTCTCTCCCTCCATCCATGTCTCTTTCCCTCTTTACCTCTAGTGCGCTGTGTTACGCTGTGTGTCGCACATGGGCTTTGTCATAAAGGCCGAGCGTGTCCAGCACGGCCGTTTATCTACCTTAGTTTGGCATCGGAGTCAGCGGCTTATGTCTGCTTGAGACGTCCATTGCACGGCAGACCCGTGCCTGAATCTGGAAGGCTCAGCTTTGCAGAGGAATGGTTTCAGAATCAGAGTTTCCCAAGCCAGACTTCTAGTAGCTTGGCATTATTCTCGCGAGTGTAGATAATCTACTTGCCCAAGTCACCGGCACATCACGAGTCCGAGTCTGCACATGCACCCGAACCGCAAGACACTCAACCATGCAACATTAGCACATCTCGTCACAGGTCTTCTTCAGAGATGTTCTGTGCTTGCTGTGCCGCCGATGCTGGAAACGGTGCCGTCGAAGAGGTCCCGCCTGTGCTGCTCTGCTCGGTGATAGTGAGGGTATACGATGATGCTGCTACCAGCGGCAGTAGTGGTGGTAGGGGTGGTTGCGTTAGTGGTGCTCGTTGTCGCCGTTGTCGTTGGGTCGTCCGGGCGGTGGTGCTGGTGGTGGTGGTTGTGGTGGTGATGCTGGTGATGGTGGTGGTCGTCGTAGCAGAAGGTAGCAGCAAGAGGAAGAAGCGCAGGAGCAGTAGCAGTAGTTGTAGGAGTGGCTGTAGCAGTAGCAGTGACAGTAGGAGTGGTCGTAGTCGCAGCTGTTAGCTGGTTGCTGGTCGCTGCTAGTTGGTAGGTGGTGGTAGTTTTAGTGGTAGTGGTGGTAGTGGAAGTGGTAGTGGTACTGGTATCAGTGGTAGCACTAGTGGTAGCAGTCGCAGTAGCCAGCCGCCACTAGCCAGTAGCCAGTGGCAGTGGAGTTGCAGTAGCAGCAACAGTAGCCGTGGTGGTGGTGATGGCGGTACTAGTAGTACTTCAGTAGTAGCAGCAATGACAATAGTAGTAGTAGTAGTAGTAGTAGTAGTAGTAGTAGCAGCAGTAGTAGTAGTAGCAGCAGCAGCAGCAGTAGGAGTAGTAGTAGTCGTCGTCGTGGTGGTGGTAGTAGTAGTAGTAGCAGCAATAATAACAATAATAATAGTAGTAGCAGCAGCAGCAGCAGCAGCCGCAGTCGTGGCAGGCTCCCCCCCCCACC